TTGGTCTGTTTTTACCAAAAGAGACACTCGCCGTCCTGCGTTCGCAACATACTCTCTATTTAGGGGACGGAGAGAGCATCGTACTTTGCAAAGACTGGGCAAAGAGCCAGACTTGAGGTTTCTGGGGTACAAGTACTGCTGCCGACCATCTACCTCGATTTATCTACTGCACAGCAGAATCTAGATGCGCTACTAGGCACAACAATAGGGCTCATCTATGTAGCGCCCTCCATATGTATTTATAATGAAAGCTCTGGGCGGAAGCTAAAGATCGGAATATGGCTGGCCGGAGCTTTGGGCAGCGGAAGTGGGAATCGTTGCCTCGAAGGCTTAAGCGTTCGAATAGCGCACCAAACTGCTGTGGTAAGACTAACTAGTATTGTTGATGGCAAAGTCAATTTTAGCAAGTATTTAAAACTTTATACTGTGGAATTAAGGCTCACTTTTACAAACTGCGCTGCAAAGCCGGACGGTGACATTGACACTCATCCGCCACACGCATGGCACTACTAAACCGAAATTCACGCCATCCATCCAGAGCTTCTTTCAGTTGTGCCTTTAAGTATGATCATGTTGCTACTATTTTTTCTCGCAGGCCCGCTTCAGTGCTTTTCCGCAGAGCACGCCGGTCGGTTCCCGGTGGTTCATGTTGTGTCAGCACTGGGTCGAAGTTTATGACTCCACACACGAAGGAATAGGGCATATCTGGAAGCTCTATTTACTGAGCCCCCTTTTTCACGCCGCCAACAGCAGCACTAATGCTGCAAAGACTGAGGGCTGTGGGCCCCGGGTCTCTCTATCGCTTCGAGCATGCTCGCAGCTAACTGGAAGTTACGTTAGCCAAGCACGAGTGCCAGTCAATATTCTACATATATACCATCTCATCGTTGCCACCCATCAGGATCTTCCTTTGCTGCTTATGCGGAGAGTGCTGATCACACGAAGCTCGCAGCTATGCCAAAAACGCAATTCTGTAGGAGTTCATTGTACAGCATCACCTGAGGTGTTAATATAAGGATGCTTAATTCCAGGCTCAATGCCGACTTAATGGAGGCAATTAATTTTTTGGTCAAAAGAAGGATTCTTTTCGCCTTCCCTCGATCCACTGTATTTCCTACACAAGGGCAGAGGGACAGCCAGGGTGCGCGTAGCCGCACCCTCAAAGGACTCAGAGCGTTCAACGCTAGCTTCACATAGCATCTAGCCTACACCCACACAGCGCTGCGTCCTTCCGCATTGAACCAGCAGTACTCTGCAACATACAAGATGCAAGAATAGACTTACCGATTTACCGTGTTGACCTACAAATTATCTAGGAATTTACTGATGTAGTAGAGCGTTTAAAGTGTACCTTAGCCTTCAATAATTACTATGGTCCGCTGATGATGATGCAGCTCTCTGTGAGCATGCTTGTCCTGTTGTGGCCCAACTTCAACTTCGTATAAAGAGCATTCTTCAGGATTCGATATAAAGAGCAAGAAGTGGCTCACAGAGCTCGCAAAACAAGACAGACCACATTGTGCAGCATTAAGGTCTACATACAGTCAACGGGGCCACCTCATTTCAAGCCATTGCTCATACCAGCACAAGTATACAGTTTATCGGGCTCAGCAATGCCGTTGCAAGCCTCCTCATTGCTACTGCTAGATTTTGCTTTGAACTTTCGCTCCCCGGCGTAAGCTCCCTTGAGGTCCGTAGAATAATTTGGGTTTGTTTTCGTTTTCTCGTCCATGGGGAAATATGTTGCCTTACCTGCGGATTGCGTGTAGCCTGTGAAGTGAGGGTTGTCCTTCACCTTTAATGGATATTGCCGAAACGAAAGGCGACTAGTATGTCGATGGCCAGGGCTGCTAATCAGCCCCATGCCCGACCCCACTCGGCAACCTCGGACCTTGGAGATGATAAGCAGCAGCAGAGAAGCTTGGAGCAAGACCGAACAGTCGCAGCACGGTCCAATTGGTGCTGCATTGCGGGGACTCCGCAGCAATCTCTTCGATTTATAATGGCTTAGCTACGGAATCTACACAGAACACAGTGCATTCAATAATTTGAACGACAGTTTACCGCAGCCTGCTTAAACATGACTTCAAAAATAATTCAGATGCCCGCAAAGCGCCCTACCCTTCATGCCTTTTAGCAACAAATGCTTTTGCTGCTTCCACGATTGGAGTATTCAGCTGCCTGTCATGACCTCTTTGCGAACGTCTCAGTCCAAGACACTGCAGCAACGGCGAGTGCATCGACTGTGGCGTGCTGCTGTACCCCTCAACAGCAAATGACCAGAGACAAAGTATATGAACTTTCCTGGTGAAGCATCTCCGTCTGATTCCTGAAGGAACAAGCACTTGGTAGTGTACCATGCGCAGTTCCCTTGCACTCAGAAACATTCTATCAAATCTTATTGTAGGAGTACCATTCGCTTGCCTCGTAGCCCCTAGCCCTTAATTCTGCATTAGGGATGACTCCACAGCAAAGCTACTTTAACATTAAAATATGTACAACGATTGGGCTTTGTTCTTGAAGCAGGTGGTGGAGCCCAGAAAGTAGAGTTGGGTTCAGCATGTGCCTGCATACTGAGGGTCTTCAGGCAACAGAGGTAGATGACAGTCAGAAGGGCACATCGACAATTCACAGCTCTGAGCTGACGTCTCGTTTATTGTGTAAGAGCAGTGCCACCAGAGTCGACCCTTCTACTTATCTTAAAAGCATCTGCAGATAGAGGCTCTGTAGAGAACATCTTTTTAAGCACCGCAGATCTTTGAGCAAAGTGGAGTACTGCTGGGCAACTTGCTATAGCACCATCAGAGGCGGACAACCATTCAACCACATGATGCATTTTTGAAAAATATGGGGATTGTGTCGCAAGGTCTCTTATCGTGCTTCCCTGTCTGCTTGGCTGCATCAAGTCACACTGGCGAGTTAGTAGCAGGATGGACAGAAAGAGGGAAGACACAAAGCTAATAATATGCACGAAATGAGGGGGAAGAAAGCATTTATTCAACAAGTGTGCAATACTAGGCGCAAGTAAGAGGAAAAGGGTGCTCTTGATTTGCAAAGTGCTCGGAAGTCGCAAGTCAACAACATACCCCCACCACGAAAACCACAAAGCACTCGACCAAAAACCGTGAAGGGACGCTGTGTTCTGTTACATTAAGATTTAACCTTGCTTACGTGGAACTTGGGAGACACACAAAACAGCTAAAGGAATTTCACCTCGACAACTTCACTACTTGTTATGATTGGGCACGTCCGCACAACTGCTAGGATTTTGGCGTACGCATGCCTCCATTGGGTGCAAACAGGAACAAATTGATCAAGCGTGCATCTGCTTGTGTTCTGCTCGTGTTGTTTTGGCGCAAACAGTGGCGGGGGAATTGAGGTCCGCCCAGCGCTTTCCCGTACACAAGCGGGCGCGTGTGGGAGCCGATCAGCCCGATACCATCGTGCCCCCGCAACCCAAACAGGATTCATCACTACATTTCCTTGCTACTCCCAGCCATTTATATGTATAAATATATATATATATACATGTGCAACTGTGCCTTGCATTTCTTGCTTACATAGTCAATGCTCCAACTTCTGCGACTAACGTCTCATCTGCATAGCATACTACATACCCACTTTATGGAAGCAAAGAAGCGTTTCAACGAAAAGCTGTCTTTTTTAAGCTCCGCCCGTCTCGTACACTTTTTGACGTAAGATAAGAGGGACAATTAAAGCGCGCGCAGCCTTACCCTCGGAGCACTACGAGCACTCATAGCCGGTTGCACATTGTATTTAGCTCACACGCACGCATTATTGTCTTCCCGTATTGAGCTACCACTGCTGTGCTCAACGTAAGGTGTATGAACAAAAAAAACCAATTGATGAATTACCTACATACTCTCTAGGAAATAAAACAGCTCAGTAGAAGGTGCCTCAGTGGAGCTTAGCTATGGGCAAGCATTGCATACTCACAGCCGTGAAGTACAAGGATTGTCTGGATTTGAATATCTTTGTTTCACTCTTCGTCTGCCGGCTCTGCCTTCACGGAACCATGAAAGTGCGGCCAGTCAGTTAGTATATGCGTTACACTGCCCCCGTTACTGGGGTCACCTGGCATTAACCTGTCTCCCTTTTGGACTTGGGGCAAAAAAGAATATAGTGTGGAATGAGGGGGAACTAGCGGGTTTTAAGGCTGGTTACCCTGCTGTCGGTATAATATCCGCAAATGTTACGGGTGCTCCGTTTACTGAAATGTTCCTGATTTGCTAGCTAAAGTACTCTATTGCTTCGTATGCATTGATAACGATCCAGGGACGATTGGCTGCACGCGGTGAGCTGAACTTTACGAAGAAACATGACTGTGTAAGAACATTCTCTTATTTTTCGGTTGGGGAGAATCAATGCCTACACAACAAAGCACTTCCTTCGCGATTTCATATCTGTATGCCGTGGTGAAAGCTTTGCTGAAAGAGTAGAGTGCATATGACAAACCTCATCGGGGTGCCATATAGTTTTTAGCTATTGATGGAAATGCTTGAAGCTGCATTACCCTTGAACAGAGTGCCGGAGTATGTAAACTGACCTGATCTTGTGCGATGTTCAATCGCAGGTGAATGAGCAGGAACATACATACAAGCACGTATACGTCTAGATTTCCGACTATGCTGTAGCTTGCTGAAAGACAGCGGCAACAGAGCAGCGTGATGTGACAACGGATGGGCTTAAGTGACGGAATGACTTGACACTACCCGATAGGCCTCACAAAGAAATGCCCGGACAATTGAGGCTATTGGCCTTCATTGCGCGTACTTCACTTCTCCTTTTGTGATAAGGCACACAGCGTAGTACAAGTGTTTTTGCCTGCTGCTAAAGAGATGTCTGTCGTACAGATATGGCGAAGGAAACAGATATCGCACAAAAACTCCTTGCGATGGAGCGCTGTCACGCCACACTAACCCTAGTGCCACCGTCTATATTCCTGCTGGGCTCGGCCAGCTACCCTTTGGGTTATGCCACTAGGCGCGGCCCTTGGCTGCGTCCATTCGCCTTTGCATTTGCTTCAACTCGGACTCAACCTCTTCCAGTTCCTGGAAGCGCAGCGCAGCTTAACACACAAATTCGCCATCAAGCTCCACTCCAGTATCTTGAAGAGACTGACAACCCAGGAGAAGAAGCAAATTTAAAAGATGTGTTGCAAGTGGAGAAAACGGGGACGTGAGGAGGTTGGCAGCACAGAAGAGATCCACATCCAGTGTGGTAACGCTTGCCCACCGATTGCAGCGCACGCTCAATGGAGGTCTCCTCAAACGCCGAGGACTGTAAAGCGGCCATTTGGCCCTTGATAGCCTTAGCAATAAGCTGAAGCAACTCAAGCTCCGAGAGCTGCTTCACATTCCTGTAGCACGGACGACCTTCCTGGGGGCGCAAGTCAATCGCATTGCCGTTTGGGTCCCTGAACACACCTAACACGGAGGCAACACAGAAAAGCCCAAGGAGCAATCACCGCTCGACTTTGTCATTTGCCCTCCATGATGATGCGTGCAGCTGCACAACCAGCTAGAAGGAACAAGAGTCATACCTGGAAAGGCAGATATCTGGTAGACTTTTGTATATCCGCCCTTGTCAACGTCGTCTAGATCTTCGTACTCTTCAAGAGAAACCCACTTCAGCTTTCGCTTCTCCAGCTCCTTCGAATAGTCAAAATCCTCTGGAGGCCACTGCGGCCAGGCGTACCACCATCTGCAGCAAAAACCCCGGACAGTCAAACATGTGCAGTTCAACGTGCTACTGCAGTGCTTGAAACGGCCAAGGCTGACACCTCCCCTGTGTCATGGACGGAATTGACCGCTGCCTGCTTCTTACCGCCTCAGGAACTGAGCTACAAGTCTGTCCTTAGAGTTTCTCTTTTTTGGGTCGAAGGCCCCCATGCTTATTTCGTTTTCTTGTCCGTCCTCGTCGCTGTCTCCATTGTCCCCGCCTTTTCTTACAGTTGCAGGCTGACGAGCACTTCGCAGCTTTACTTGGCCTGTCTTTGTATGCTTAGCCCTGGCAACGTCTTTTTTAACTGCTGGCTTCTTACTACCAGAAGACGCCCGCGATTTGGGCCTGCTGGTGGAACGCGTATCAGACTCCTCTCCACTGCTACTGTCGCTGCTGCTGCTGTCGCTGCTGCTGTCGCTGCTGCTGTCGTTGCTGCTGTCGCTGCCGCTCCCGCTGCTGTTGCTGCTGTCGCTCCCACTACTGCTACTTTCCCTGCTGCTTCCGCTACCACTGGAGCGCCTACTCGGTGCTGCACGCATGCTCAGAGCACAGAGGCACCCCCGATACACTCTGTCGACTTCCTAAACCAACAGGACACACCTACAGCGCGCGTCGAGCAGAAACACAGTCCTAAACGCAAAGCCCTGTCGGCCGACATGGCGCTACCTGGAAGTGTGCGTTTAACCGGCTGCGCCGGGACCTTCGCCGCTCCGCTTTGTGGTTTTGGGGGCTTAGAGCCCCCAGCAGGAGCTGACGCAGACTGAGGACAAGACGCAATATGCATTTTACCCAAGACCACCTCGTCGTCTGAGCTGTCGGAGACCAGCCTGCTCTTCTTCGTCCCTCTGGGCCTCATGGGGGAGTCGTCATCGCTGTCCAGTAAGCGCCGCCGCCCCGTGGCTCCTGCCACTCCCGAAGTCGCAGAGGCAGACTCCTCAAGCCGTGCACCAGGCGAAGACATAAGACCGCTAGATGCGATGCTTCCTCCTTTCACCTCTGCCCTTATGGGTGGATCGGCTGGCGGCGGCGCTTGATCTGGCCGAGAATTCCCCCCCAATGAACCACCTGTGTGAACGCTTGATGGGACCCCTGAGGATGGAGCCAGCGCTGCAGCACCCAGGTGTTCACCCGGTGTGCTGGCACGGGGTCTGATAATCTCATTTTTCGCCTGAGCCCCAAGCAACACACTCTGCGAGTGCACACCCATGGATCCCTGGACAGCGTGAAAAGCGACCGTAGGCAGCAGGAACTGAAAGTTTCTGCTGCCTCTGCAAAGGCAGACGGTGGCAACGCACTGTCCTGCGCCGGCCCCGCCTCGTGGCTGCTGTTTTGCCCGGCTGCGGTCTGAGGCCACCCACGCTAATTATGCATAGAAAAGAAGGCAGCCTTCATCGTCAGGGGGAAGCAGTTCCAGGCCTACCTCCATTATTAGATGCAGAAATGAGGGCCTACGCGCAAGCTAGCGTAATCTGGGGAAGGGGTGTAGGGGTCCACTGTGCGAGCTGGAGCAGCACGTGGGGCTAGTGGCAGGGGTGGAGTGCACAGAGAAAGCTGGCAACAGTCTTCTGAACGTGGCAGAGGGACGCTGTACAACAATGCGGTGGTGAGGGCTATGCTGCGTGCGTCCAAGGAGGGAACCAGCGGTGTCCTCGCCAACCTTGTGAGACCCAGACACGGCAACCACGCCAACTCGCTCCCGCGGGAGCAGACCAATAGACTAGAAACGAGATTCAAATGGAGAATACTATGTAAGGGCGACTGGTACCAGTTACGGCTTGGGGTAAAAAAGTGCATGGATCTAGTGATCTAGCGGCCCTCCAGCGCTGGTGCTGGCCTACAATTATTGTGGGAGAGCGACAAGGGGGAGAGAAAGAAAGGTGCTTTGACGCCACGGGGAAAATAAAAATGGCGGCCAAAAATGACCCACGGCCTGGAGCCTAAAATGTAAGCTCTACAGAGGAGCCCTGCATGCCATGCCTGGCGGGTGATGTGCACGCCGCACTTTGCCGCCTGGTTACTTGATCATTCAGAAATCTCAAGCAGCCGGTTCCCTCTTGTTGTGATCGAACAGCAGCTGTTTCATGGATTTCCCATAGCTGCTAGTCTCTCGATGCGAAGTAACCCCAGGCGGCAGCCACCACAGCCACATGCGGCCTAGTGAACGATTGCCTCCCCCAAACGGAATTTCCTGAGCTGTGGAGAGGTCATCGCGGCATGCCGTGGGGCATGCGCTGGCCTCACACGTATAACTGGGCAGGCATTAAATCGCTCCCACACTTCCCAATTCAATTGAGGCATCCTACCATGGCAGATGGGAGGGCGGCACCACAGGCATGCGAGCAAAGGGCCTGCCTCGACTACGGTGATTTGGAGGATGGCGAATGCTGGATGCCGTTTCACCGATCGGCTCCTGATACTGTGCGCTTTAGTATAAACAGGAAAGCAGAGTTTCTAGGGAGGCTCGGGTGGCCATTGCACCAAAATTATGCTTCCGGAGGCCAGTCCATTGAACGAACACATGCTAACCCTTTCCTTTCGCGCTTTGACTGTTACATTTGCTACAGGCTAATGGCGAGGCGGGGTGGGACCTCGGCGGATTCGTCTCCCCATTCCAGTGCGTCCTCGGCCTACCCTACACTTGAAGGCAGGTGTTGTGCCGCGCGTGGAAGAGTGGCGGGAAGGTGCTTGGCAGGATCATTACACTGTTCATGGTGCACAGTTGCTGCCTTGCCTTGTGAACAATGAATGCTCAGGGTCACTCCAGTCGTAAGCGATTCTGCTTGGCGAAGCTGCGCTCAGGGGATCCAAGTCGGCTGGTCCGCCCTGTAATTGTAAGCAGCTGCTTATGCTTTAAATGTTCGCTACAGGAAAAGATCCAGGTGATTGCCAGGGCACTCGAACTTACGGAGAAGGATGTTGTTTACGAGTGAGTCCTCACGCGCAGGTTGCTACGACCACTGGAACAAATTCAACGCCAGGCGTTCAATTGAAGATCCTACATGGTTCTACATCAGTGCTGGTCAAGTGTAGCTTTTTGCGAGTAAGGTGTTTTTGCAGTCTTGGATGCGGCGATGGGCGCTTTGTCATTGAGTGCTGCCGCTTGGCAAACTGCAATGGTGAGCCTCTTACCTCAGGTAGCACGTTACCTACCTTCCTGTGGCGCATATGCCCGCGTAGCTTCTTTTCGGTGATTGAGTGCAAAGTATCACCGATGTGTCAGTCCAACGCTCGGCCATCCGCAGCTATTCGAGCGCAAGTTGTTTCTCAATGCAAGTGGTGTAGGCGTTGGGCTGGATCTAGACGAAAAGCTTGTTGCCAAGGCGCAACGGAACGCTGCTGCTGCGGGGACTATTCGCGCCGAGTTTTTCCAAGGGAATTTTCTCGATCCGCATCTTGACTTATCGCGTGCAACTGTCATGTAGGTAGGATCCCTGGTGCAGTTGGGGTAGGTCAGTGGTCTGCTGTACTCTGGGATACATGTGCACTCCATACCCCGCTTAGCTCAGGAGTCCGCATGCGCCAAACGACGGGATATTGCTGCCCACTGTGTATTGCGCCTTTCAGTTTCGTTTACCTGCTCCCAGAGGCACTCAGGCTACTGGCACCTCGTCTTGAAGAGCTGCTCCGGTCCTCGCCTTCCTTGAGGTCAATAGTTTCCCTATGGTGGCCCCTCTACGCCACAGAAGTGTCTGTGCATGACTCAGAGCAGAGGATTTTCCTGTATCGGGCTAACGACCTTCGCAGACAAGCCAAAATTGCAGCCAAGCCAGATACCCCTGGCAGCAAACAAGCTGCAACAACCGCCCTTGCAGAGACAGTGCCTTGCTGCCAGCCGAAGGACAGCAGCCACTCCGATTCCTAGTACACGCAGTGGCATTTTCATGCTTTATGTGGGAGTAACGAATCCAGAAAGCGCAGAGGCGTACACACGGGGTCAGCCTGCTGCGCTTATGTAGAATCAAGTCTCTTTCTGGTCTGCACTTGCCTGCCACATCGTTGATCACAGTAACAGCTCGAAAGGTAATGCGCCCGTTTAAAGTTGCTGCTCTTTCGCCCAGGTGCATGTGGACAGGCGGTGACGTCACTTTTAGTGCTCGTATTGAAACGGAGGTGTTGCTTAGCTTCTTTAGGCTGCAACGCTCCCACGATGCGTGCAGCTCCTTTAAATTCTACCCTGTACCTTGGGAAGTACACCGTGGCTTCTGAGTGAATGCATGAACTAGTCTCCGGATCTGGATGGATGCCTGGCACCTACGTACAATGCATCCTAGTGGTGCAAGCACTCAATAGCTCCCTTCTAGCTGCAATAGCATCCCGGCGTTGACTGCCTTAGTAAACCCGAGGTACTCGCCTCCACTACCGTCTGCTATTTTTTATATACAATGCCGAGGAAGCCTGCAGCTGTGTATCGTCTATTTTGGGTTCTACTTCTCCCCTCTGTATCCACTGCTCATATACGTGGGGCTCGCGGTGTCTTTTGTTGATTGCTTGCTCATCCTCGGTGCGCCTTAAAAATCCCAGAAGACTCCCTTTGGGAGCCCCGAACGATAGGTGCAGCACTTCTTGAGTTTTCCTCCTACCTGTTTATCCAGCACCTCAGGTCTGTATGCTTTGGAAGGCTTTACGTGGCTGCATGGTTGCCTGCTTCTTTTGGTACTTTATACTGCTTCTTCCACTCGAATGCTGTAGTTCCCATTCAAGGTTTCAGTGCGAGTCATCTTCCTGTTTGTGAATCGTGGCGATTTTTTCTTCTCAATCGCCAAACCACCATTCGCGCTTTACAAAAACTTGGCATCCTGGATCATTTGCTGTATGCGTAAAACCCGGGGGCAGGCTTAGAAAGGATTAGTTATATCTTGTACCTGGTTGTCTCACCCAGTCAGTAGTCCATCGCACTCGAGTCCTCCCAGCATGGAGGAGCCGGGGACATGCTGCGTGTTCAGGCTCTATAAGTGCTTATCTTCCCCAGCTGGACTGTGGTTGATTTTCGGCTCTGCATTTTCTGTACACATTCGTGGCATTCACGCGCATGCCGAGACCGAAGTCCGTTGTAAGTTTTCTCATTTTACTTCATGTGCATCAAGGGCGAGCTAAGTCTAAATGGGCTAAAACCACTTTTAGGGCTTCTTCGTACTACAATTCTGCCCGATTGGCGTAAGACCTGCCTCACTGCATAGGCAGATGATACACAACAAGGGTTCGCTGCTAGCTGGCGAACAAAAGCTCAGTGGAGCCGAAGGATGCTTAGAGTCCAGTAATCTGACCACTGTGGAAGCCGTCTATGGCATAGGAAGCCGTAGCCTCTGAGGTTGATGGCACTCCTATTTCTGAATAAGCGTAGGGGCTGTCCAGCACGACGATTCTCTTAGTGCCCCTATCGGTTGCCGGAGGCTTTCTCGGAAAATTCATGAAATCCTTGGATTTTTTGGAAGCAGCACCTACGAGATCGTATGATCCCTTCTATTTTAGACCTTTAGGCCTCTCAGTACTAACATTGAGGCATACAGCAGCTGGCCACCGAAGGAAAAAGCCGACGTATCCGCGTGTGCAAACACATTGACCCCGGCATTTTCACAAAGTGCAGGCACACTCAATGGACGCTTCTAAACATAAGTTATGGAAGGAGCTCTTCGTGCAGCTGCGGGCCAGTGCAAACCACGTCAATACAGCTGTCATAGCTTTAGTTTTGCAGCAGTACACTCGTATCCCGAGGTGCACACGCATCTGATCATGGTGCTACTGCAGCAGATGCATTCCTAGTTGTTGAATCTGTTAGCGCTGCCATTCCCGTTACTCCTGTTGCTGCTGCAGCTCCTTTATTGCAGTGGAAGCTCATGTCATGTCTTGGTCACGGTGCATTAAACAGCAGTCGGTGTCACATTCTCAGTCTTGTGCGTGTGCACTCCTAATGACCGAATGGCAGTTTTTACAGACCCCAGCAGAACACTAAGGACAGCTGCTGTATTCGGGAGGGAAGCAGCAACAGAGGCTCCTTTCTCAGCAATATATGCCAGCTTAATTTTTGCTGTTGGCTCCTATATCTGATGCTAGCAAACCAGCAGGGCCAGTGAGGCTGCGCTTTTTCCAGCAGCGATTCTAAAGGAGATCTAACCTCATTAATCAGTGGTCTCTGTGTTTGGGCCTAGATGCCGCGCCATAAAGCGAGGCATCATCTTAGGTTCAGCGTTGTTGGCCCTTACAGAAGTCAAGGCCACCCAGTGTGTACTTCCTACTGGGTCGACTGGCCACGGAACAGGGCGCCGGCAGTACGCGGGTGCATACAAGAAGCCCTTTCGACCCTTATTAGACAGAGAGCCACGGCTGGCCACAGAAGGTGGCCTCTGACTGGGGCAGAGCAGATCCCAAGAGCAAGGCCTTGTCCTTCTTTAGCGCGGTGCTGAGGACGCTGTGACCAGCGCAGTCAGCAGATCCTGACGAAGAAAAACGGCTTGCGTCCACAGTCTCCCAGCAGCCGCAGCAGTACTGCGGCTACTGCCTTTGCTCGTGCCGCTACGAGTGACCAATGCTTTGCTATTAACAGACTATCCATTGCAGCAGCGTCTGTATCCAGGTGCGCAGCGCTGCTGTTGAAAGCCGTATATTTAACCAAAACATCCATTATGTTTATGATGTTGCTGCAACTGTGCACGCCTCTCCTTTGTTGTGCGGGTTGCAGCCGCCTCCCCAAAGGTGCGCTGTTTCCCGACTAACATGTGTGGCTACCAGCTAAGAAGGAAACTCCGCACGCTTGAGAGGAGGTACGACACCATGGCGATTTGCGCGCTAGTCAAAGATTACCACGCAGTAACTGCCGCAGCAGCCCCTGCTACCGCTACTACAACTCGAGCTCACGCCGACCTGCGGCTGAACCGTAGAGCCCTCGAGACTATTCTTTCCCTTTGCAGTGCCATAGAAAACCTGTATACGTGTCCACATGCTGGTGCTGCGTGAGCCGCTCTCATACACCGCTTGCTGTTGTAGCTGCGGGTACTGTTGCGGCCGTCTGGGGGTTCTGTGTGACGCTACGGAAAGGTGTGGGGACGGTCCCGTAGAGCCGAACTACACACCGCCAAGATGCTCTGGCAGCTGCTGCACCGGTTTTTGTTGCTGGTGCTGCATGGGCCGATTAATTCGTTGCTGCATGCAGTGAAACCGAGCAGCATGGGCGCAGAAGGCCTCCCACAGAGCCTCACTCCGCCTCTCAAGTGAGTGTCGTGCAGTTAGAAAGGCATAGACAGAGGCCCCTAGGGCCTCCGACCTCATAGAAGCCCACGCAGGGGCTTCTACACAGACCAGGACTTGCTGGGCCGTTGTCAGCTGCTGTTGAAGTGGATGCAGCAGCAGCTTTTGCTGCTGCAAGCGCTGCTGCTGCTCGCCCACCTGAGCTGCTTTATCTTTCCACCGCAGATGTGTCTGCAGCCAATACCCACGTGGGGAGCGCCGCAGAGCAGCTAGTTCAACCTGAAGCTTGGCTGTTGCCGCTTCCAGCTGCTGCTGTTGCTGCTGAAGCTGCTCCACATGAGTAAAGGCCTGCAGCATGCATTCGCAGTCTTCGATCCCTCGGTTCACAGCAGCAAGTAAAAGGTCCACGTGCTGTTCCTGAGACTGTCGCTGCCCCAACAAACCACAGAAAAAAAATGCAGACGACAAGTCCTGCAGAGCTTCGCCACCTGAAATCATGAAACTGTGCTGCCGCTGTTGCGGCGACTGCTGTTGCTTCTGTTGAGGGACGGTAGAGGAGTCAGCCGCAAAGGCGATGCCTGCTACCCCGTCGTTTTTGTGAGCTTGCTGCTGTTGCGCCGGCTGATGAGCCCTGACAGGACCGCTTAAGGCCTCCAGGCCCCTAGTGTCAGCCTGCAGCAGCAGTTTCTGCTGCTCTGGAATTGGCTGAGGCTCAGTCTCTGCTGCAGCTGCATGAGCACTGCCGCTCCTGCCGCGATTACGCTGCTCCTCCTGCTGTTTCTGTTGTGGTGACAAGGGGCCATGTAGCTGCCCAAGGGGGTCTGACAGTTTGTGATCCAGAAGTGCAGCTTGTAGCGCCTCAATGCTCAGCTGCTGTTCCTGCTGCAGCTTGCAGATGTGTCTGAGGTGCTGCTGGAGCACCAGGAGAAACTGCAAGTGATGGGTCACCAAGCTTTTGCTTGCAGCCATACGAGAGCCACCATCTGCAGGAGCGGCTAGAGCTGCAGAGCTCGAGTGCCAACACATTGAGGGGGATGCACCTGCTGGTAATCCTCCCGCTGACTGCCCACTCCCCGCAGACGCGTCCGCAACCCCAGCAGCAACCGCATCTAGCTCCTCCCCAAACGCGCGCCGATACTCTGTAAGCTGCTCTTCGATTCGCTGCAGACCAGTCATGTGTTGTCTCCGCTGCTTTAGGGCTTCCAGAGAGAAAGCGCCATCCGAGCTGCTGCCGCCGGTAATCTCGCCGCTGTTGCAAGGGGAGACCTCTAGCCACGCTCTCACGAGGCCGCACCTGGCGAGGTGAGGCCTGTTGAGGATTCGCGTGAGAAATATACACAGACCTTGTCTTCTCTCTGCCGCTGCCTCTGCGTCGTCTCTGCTGCCAAGCCCCAGACGCTTGGGCAAGGGGGGAACGAAGGCTCCTGGTAGCAATTGCTGCAGCTGCTGTTGCAGCCACAGAAAATCCGTGTGTCTGCGTCTCACGGCAAACGAGCCCACTCCCTCGGCCGTGCCCGTGACAGTGTATAAAACAGAGCGAGACCAGAGAGCAGAGCCGACAACCAGCAGGCTGCTGCTGCTGTTGGTGCTGCTGCTCGCCTCCGCTACGCGCAACTCGATGCGCCGCCTCATGCGCTCAGAGGGGCAGGTACCGCCCCAAAAAGACCGCTTCAACAGCTCGTTCAGAACGTCGCCACAGCAGCAGCAGCAGCAGTCTGCACACAGCTTTTGAGGCGCTGCGACGCTGCTGGCACTGTGCGTATTGCTGCTATTGCTGTTCTTGGCGCTGCTGCTCTTGGCGCTGGCGCTGCTGCTACAGCAGCAACAGGCGGGTCGCCCCCAAAGCCGAGAAGTCACGGCACAAGGAGGTTCCTCATGCAGCACCACGCCATCACTTTGGTCGGCGAAGGCCTCTGCAGCTGGCGTGCAAAAAGCAGCGGCAGCAAAACCTTCTGATGCAGCAGCTGCTGCCGAGCAGTGCGCAGCGTGAGGACAGTCAGGCCGCCCACAGGGGGGGAGCTCTCGTGGCTGCGAGGCTCCAAGAACTGCTGCAGTTGCTGCCGCGGCAGCACAGTGCGAGAGTGTATGAGTGGCATCCGTGTGCAACAGCGTAAAGGAGTCTCCAACATCCACTTCTCCCACTGCAGAAGATGCGTGGAGTTGATGCTGCTGGTGTTGCGGCCTGCCGCTGTACGAAGAAGAAAGGCTCACGCCTATGCACGGCCCCGACACAACGCTGCTCAGGCGCTTCCGAATGCCAAGTCTCGCAGGATCTTCAATCGGAGAGACGAGGGGGGCGGAGGAAACTGAGGAATTTGTTGCCGCTGTTGTTTCACTTGCTGCCTCGCGGTGTTTGGCTGTGGCAGCTGCCAAAGACGATGTTGGAGAAGCTTCCTCTGAAAGCTGCGAGGCCTGTGTGCTATCGTGCGCCTTCACGCCATTCAGCAGGCTGCTTCCCGACTGCTGCTGCTGTTGCTGCTGCTCGGTGGAGCCTGTCTCTGTAGGTTGTGTAGCACTGCCTCGTTGCACTGTACTGAGAGTTCCCGTTTCGCTGCTACCTACGGGCACCCCTGTAGCACCAGAGGCAGCTGCTGACTGAACACGCTGCTGCTGCTGCTGCCCTGAAGCCGCTGTCAGCCCCGAGGTGAGGGTGGCGGGGTCGAGGTGTGCTGCAGACGCAGCAGCAGCAGCAGCAGCAGCACGATGCTTGCTGCTGCTCGATCTCGATCCTGAGGACTGCCTTCCCATCGTCAGGAAAGGATCAACGGCAGCAGCAGCTGCAGCCGGGGCAGCAGCAGCAGCCGAGGCAGCGCTTTTTGGGGGTGGGGAGGAGGCAAAGGACACCTTTCGCGCTGCGTTACTGCCAATATGAAAATGCGCAGCCGCAACGCCTCAATGCTCAGAATGTGCTGCTGCCGCCCCCGCAGTAGCTGCTGCTGCTGCAGGAGTGTTCCCTCTACCAGAGAGGCTTGAGCACACGAGCGAGGTCAGTGGCAAAAGGCCCCCAAGCCCCTGCCAGCAAACCCTTGCGGCGATGCTGATTCGCTGGTGAGGTGTCTGGACACCTTATCCTGGAGCCTACCGGCGGCTACAACAAGCAGAGCAGCGGGAGGCAAGTGGTGCCGCTCTTGAGCGGCAGCGGTCGCCACTGCTGCTGCCCACGGTGTAGCGCAGCTATCGGGGCAGAGCCCCTACTACTACGGCTGAGACTTGGGAGTTCATGAGACAGACATACCGAAAATGGGAGGAAGGGGGGAAGGGGGCTTCTTGCCCGTGGTTGGCTGTTGCTGACGCTGTTGCTGCCGCGATGCAGCAGGCGGACGCCTGTGCTGGCGCTACTTAGGGCCAAATATACAAGGTAAGACAGTATAACACTTTCGCCGCCGCTAATGCTGCTGCTCCTCCTCCGCAAGGCCCATTTGCAGCTGCAGATGATGGCGTTGCTGCTGCTGCTGCTCGGCAGCCAGCGGGAAGTGCGAGGGGCGGGTTACGGACCCTATTCCTGGAGCAGGTAATCCGCCTAAAGCAAATCGAGATAACACGAAAGCCAATGGGTCTCAAGGTTCAGAACGATACCCCTAAAGGGCCCTGTGCTGCTGCTGCTGGCTGGCGCAGCAGCAGCAGCACCAGCAGCAGCAGCACCAGCGCGAGTACAGGACGATGGCATCACCTACAGCCTGCACTGCGTAGTGTGCTCACTGCGAGGCAGACAGACAGAGTGTATTTTTGAGCAAAGATAAATACGCAGAAATCGGCAATGGTTGCCCAAGGAAAAAGAGACAGACGCGCGACCCAACGCGCAACACATTGAATCTCGGTCGGCGCAGCTGCTGCTAGGAGGCTATGCAGGCTACGCCTCCTGCTGTGGTTGCTGCCTCAGAAACCGCTTCAAACCCCATTGTTCACCGCAAAGGTCGGCGCTCATGTGTAAAAAGGGCGCATATGCAGAAGTTTCCTCCATGGAGGCAGAAGCTAGATCTCAGGCCACAGTGCAGTGGCGGCATCGAGTTTCGAACCTAGCCGCCGCTCGTTGCTGCAATAGAACTTGGCAGGAAAGCGCTCCCCTCCTTAATTATATCGATTGACTCAAAATATGCAGCTTTCTATGGATCATGTCTTGTGTGAGCCACGCCCTCTCTCGGGGAGTTTCATTGCCTCGAGCCACATAGCACTGGGACTACTAGGGGGCCCCCACGTGGGCCCCCCCAGTACCGGTTAGCACCTTCGTTGCGAAAGGCAGAGTCTTGTTCACATCTTTCTTCCTCTCCGTTCGCCCAATATATCAGATGATAAGGCCTTAGCCACTTTTTCGGGGGAGCAGCCCCCCTCTGCACACGGGGGGGAAGGACAGGGAGAGATCCCAGGGAAGTAGTGGCGCAGTCACCTCGAAAGTGGCATCGCTGCATTTTTTAGGTTGCACCAACTCCTAGTCTCTACTGACACTGCAACTACTGCTTCTGTTTCTGCTGTTCAACACTGCACAAAAATGGCGGATAGAGACCGCTCCTCGGGTGCACCGCTGCGGCAGGCGATGCAAGGCCAAGGTGCTTCAGCACACCCATTGCCTCCCGCTGCACGCAGAGCGGCACAAGGAGCAAACACACCACAAGCGACAGAGACAGCTGGTCGACGGGGAGAAGAGCGCTACTTCGAAGCGGCTACTGCGCATGCCAACGCACGCGTAGAACCGCCATTAGCGTCTTGCACCTTGTTGATTGGGCGTCGCTATGTCCTCGTTGTAGGGAGCACGGACAGGCTCGTGAGGAGCCCTGAGGATCCACTCGATGAAATGCACGATTCAATCCTAGAAAGAGACGGGAAGGGCTGGAAGCGGCTGCACTCCTTGCTGCTTATACACAAGCAACCAGCACTGTACCAGCGACAGCACTTACAACAGCAGTGCACCCGCCGCTTGCAGCAGCAGCATCTGCACCAATATTGCTTTAGCCGTCCACCGACGTGGGAGCGCATCGGAGAGAAACTGATGTCTACACCGGAAGCGGATCGCTGTCTTAGACAAAGTCAGTAGGCCGTACACGCAAATTATTGTGGGCTTAGCTTGACCTTCTGCCGCTGCTTCCTGCGTCTAGCGACGCCTAAGAGGCCTCCTCCTAAGGCTCTTGTAGGCACAGATTGTCTGTTCTATCTGCAGCGCTGCAGTGGCTACAGGAAGAGCCCGAGCAACGGTTACGTGCTGCCGGCCTTATCGGATTTTTACAACTCCTATGCGGCTTCCACCTCGTCGTAGGCATTGGCGCGAGACCGGTACTGCATCAGGCGCACTAGCTATAGCCTTCGCGCCGTTAGCACGTGTCACTCTCGCTGCCAAGGCACTATCGCAGGCGCTTGTTGCTACCCTAAAAGCGCAGCCACAGTATCTCCACCAGCAGTCCCTGCAGAAACGCGGCCAGCAGACCGTGCAGCAAACCCATCGCAGAAACGTATTGCCTTGCTGCAAAAAACCGCAGGTGGCGCCAACATGCGTGCGTGCATGTATGTGGATGTACGTATGTATATGTGTGTGTGTGTATGTGTATGTACGTATGTATATGTGTGCGTGCATGTGTGTGTATGTACGTATGTATTTGTGTGTATGTGTATGTGTGCGTGTATGTGTATGCCCGCGTGCAGGCTGCACGATTACTCCTTCATCATACGGTCTGGTCCCTGGAAGACATAACGCTGCTGCCCCTTTTCTTTGTTGTCGACACAGCGCAGGAAGCCGCCCCGTATTGCTGCTCTCTCCCTCCTACTCTGAGCTTGTTGCATCACTTGTGCCACGCATCAGGCGAGCACGAGCCGCGGCATCGAGCGCAAGACCGTGTGTATGAGCAACAGGTGCAGGCTCTGTCCGCAGCCCTCGCAGACGTTTCCTTCCCGTCAGGTGCAGCAGCAGCGGCAGCAGCAGCAGAGGACGCTAAATACAGAGCGGCAGTGCTGGCCTATCGAGCAGATCGATGGTTTTACTTCTGCCGAACCCTGTGCATCAACCTGTCCTTGCAGCAGCTCGCTGCCAGAAGGGCAGCCGCGCGTGCGGCTGCTGCTGCACAGACTGCTGCGGCAGGGGCCCAGGCACCAGACAGCTCAGCGGCGGCAGCGGCGGCCACTGTTGTAGAATTCCATGGGCAGTTTTTGAGCTGCGAGCTGCAGCCAGACGGATGCAGCTGCAGACGGCGCCAGTCGCACCAAGCGCAGCAAGAGCAGCCGCACGGCAGCAGCCGCTGGAGGTGGACGCCTCTGCATCGTGAAGAGTGCCGTTTTTTGTGGAATCGTGAGTTGTTGTCGTTGCTCTTTCAGCAGCACGCCGAGGAGTTGATATCTGAGGGTTTTTTTCTGCTCATACTGCACGGCTCAGTGCAGCAACAAGTGCTGCCTACGCAGGGAGTCCATTTGCAGCTTCTTACGATTTGTAGGCGGTCAGCTGCGTTCGCCGGCCCCAGGTGCGTTGTGTTGCCGCGTGGCTGCAGCTGTGCTGCTCTTGCGGCCCTGCTGGACTGTGGCTGTAAGTTTCTTCTTGGGAGTGCCTTTTTGCACGCTGTTTCGCCGCCTGCCCAATAAGCTCCGTGGCGTGTCTCCACGACGTGTGTGCCGCTGGCCGCTGTTGTTGAACCGCGTTTCCGCAGGTACCGTAAGAGGGGTCTCAACGATGCAGGGGATGCGGCAAACGAAGTCGAGGTCGAGTTCGCATGCCAGGCGACTATGCCCTCCCGCGCAGCCACGTTGACGGCAGCACAAGCTGTAGCACTTGCGCCGGAAGAAACAGCAGCTCTTCCTGACGGACTGTGGAGGCAGGTGCTGCTGCACGGCGGGGGTGGCTTCGAGTGTGCCATTGCCTCCCACGTTGTTTCTCGCGGCAGCGCTCCAGTGCTATGGTGCCAGGACACGGCTGTCATCCCCTCTCGCCCTCGCATCCGCCGGAGAATTGTAAGAGTCACGTGCCAGACGCTGCAGTGTCAGGTGTCTCTGCTTCTGGTGCCCCGCCACGCGCCTCTGCTGCGATAGCTGCTCAGCGCGCTAACTGCCCGGCGAGCGACGGGGAGGGAGGAAAGCGGATGCTTCCTGTCAATCTCCTCTTTCCGCCCTTCCCTCGTCCCTACGGCTGCAGACGGTTTTTGTGGTTTGACCTCTGTCGGGCCTTCAGACGGACGTGAATTGGAGTGCCATTCGGAGGCACATGGCGAGTTTGCTGCAGCGATACGGCTCCCCGCTGCTCCTCGTGAACCTGCTGCGCAGCAGTCCGCGGAAAAGCGTTGCTGCAGCCGCTTCCCAGACTTCGCCGCGGGCCGGCGCTGCAAGTGCGTCGCTCAGGGGGGCAGAACACCCGCAGGTGCAGCAGTGGCAGACTCAGCAGCAGCCGGGAGGGCGTGCAGCCGGAGCAGCAGCAGCTGCTGCAGAAAGCTCCCCTGCCGTCCCAGTAGCCTCCTTAGATGACTGGTACAGCGAAGAAGCTGCGGCAACAGCAACAATTGCGGAGCAGGAGGCGCATCTGGGGGAAGAGTATCGCAGGGCTGTCGACGTTCTCAATGCAGTAAGGCCACTGGCGCAACGGCAAGCAGATGCAACAGGGGAACACTCGTGTTTTCACCTCTTTGGAACCCTTTCAGCCGCAGCCGATCGGGCCTCTTCCTTCTTCCAGTCGGCAGCAGTGCTCTGCGAAGCCTCCTCGCATGACGCTGAAGGGGGTTATATATATCTCTTGGGGCGTTGGTGACAGGCTCTAGTGCGGTCCTCTGTCCGTCAGCGACGTGGCTGTGCGTCTCTGCTGGTGTTCTGCATTGCGTATGCACGCAGGAGCTGCCTCCCTCAGTGCAGCTGCGGTTTGCTGCTGTAGACGTGGAGGCTGCGAGACGCGTGAATCCAAGGGGGGCCTCGAAACGCGTGGAGGCACTAGCGGCGGAGACGCTCAACGACTTGCAGTTCTTTGCCTCCAACGAGTCCGCCTCGCAGCTTGCCCAAGGGCCTTTGAGCAGCAAAAGGGGGAGGGGAGTTACGCCTTGTGTTGTAGGCTTAAGGCGGCTGCCAAAAGTCACTACCTGCTGCTTGCTTCTGTGCCCTTGTGCCTTTCTGCGTGCTGCAGCCTGTGGAGCCTGCGCCCAAGGCAGCTGCAGCGTGGTGTGTGCCGCTTAAATTGCCTTGACTCCCTCGACAGAACCAATGAGCTGCAGCTTCACCTCCACAGGGCTTTTGCGCTTTGTTTCTTGAGACGCCTTCCCGCTGCTTTCTCCATCGACAACACCCTAGATGAGCAGGCACGCCGCGAACCGCAAGCACCGAACTGCAGCCACCCCACACCATGCAGTGCCCTTCATAAGGAACTTGTTGGAACTTGCCTCTGCGTCTGAGCCTGCCCCGTGGAGTGCGGCGCGGACGCAGAGGCGTGTGGGCGGAGAAGTGGGGGGGGGGCAAGGAGGAAGGGTGAAAGGAAGGGAGGGCACCACTCGTCCGCAAAAAAAAAGGCCAAGACGGTCAAAGAAAAGTGCTTAGTTTTGAAGGCGATGGCAGGGGATAGGGGATATGGGCACCCAGCGAGGGAGGGGGCTACGCAAACGGGGGGAACGTATTAAAGACAATGGCGAGGAAGAGTCGTGCGGGTGAGGCCAAGAATACGAGGACGAGATGCACTGCAGAATCGCTATGTGTGGCCGTTTTTTAGGTGCTTCGCGCTGTGGCCCTTCTCACAGACGCCAGTGGAGACGATGTTGCCCTGCAGTATGGGGGTAAGTGAGCGAGTGTTGCTGCTGCGGCAGCTGCCGTTGGCTGTGTGTTGCAGGTTGCGAATGGCTGTTGAAGCAGTGTAGCTCAGGATATGTGGCTGTAGCACTTGGGGGAGTACTAGGGGCACTACGGGTTTAAAGTTCAGGGCGAGCAGTCCTCGTGTGTGTCCTTGTGTCTGTGTATGTGTGTGTGTCTCTCTCTCTCAATAGGTTCCGCCGCGCACAGGAAGCGACTGGAACCGCTGGCGTGGGCATCGCAGTTGCCAGTGGCGCCAGCCACGGCTGGCAGCACCTTTGGAGGCAGCAGCTCTCGCCTCAACAGTGAAGGACCAGCCAGCAGCCGGAGCAGCGCGGCATCCCGACAGCCGTCGCCTCTTCCCGCTGTTGAGCCACTTCTCGCAGACGATGCTGCAAGTGAGGGTTCCCACAGCAGCAACAGCAGCAGTCTAGCTCAGGGTTTGCTGGCTGCCCTTCAAGGAGTGCCCTCAGCTCTTGCCGCCAAGTGGATTGGGGAAAAGCGAGGGACGGTCGCCCTTTTGCCTCTCCTTCCTGGCCTCTCAACTTCTCTGCAACGCAGGTGAGGTCGGCTGCGGCGATGGCTTAGCGTCTGCCGCAGGAGATGCTGCAGGAGGCGCAAGGCAACGGCTACGTAGGCCCTATAATGCGGGCGCGGCACGACTGGTGCTGCTTTACAGAAGAGACGTGCTTCAGGGGATGCATTGGATGTGTGTGGAAGGGGGATTCGATCCCTGCGCTTTTTTGCAGCGCGAGTGGCCAAGATTTAGCTCGCCAGCCTTGGCTGCCAAGGGGTGCAGACTTGCTCGTGGCGCTCAGAGGAGGCGTCTGTCAGTGTATGCCTGCCTTTGCTGCAGATATACCAACGTGCTTGAAGATGGTCGAAAGCAGCAAGCGCTCAATATTTGGTTCGGTCTTTACGCCCCGCTTAAGGCGGCCCAGCACCAGCCGCCCATTTGGCGGCTTGAAGATGGCTATGACGTCTACATTCACCATAAGTGCGGCCATGCATGCAGCTGTAGTGCGTTTGGGCCCTGTTGGCTTTTGAGGGCTCGCCGCCACAACTGGAGTGGCACGACAAGCATCCACACAGATGCCTATAGTCAGATAGCCAGGAAGAGGAGCGAGTTGTTGTTGCGCGCTCGAGAGTGTTGCTTTGTAGCCGTCTGGCGCTTGTGGCAGCGTTGCAGTCCGCTCATTTGGAGCCTGATGCTTTAGTTGCGGTGCCGCCACGGGTTTTTGGTGCTTGCATTGCCTGATATGCGGTGGTTTCGCAGCTTCTTGGAGCCGTCTTTTTGCCCGAAGGACTGGTGGGTGCTGCCGCTGCAGCGCTTTTTCAATGGGATGAGAGCCGCCATCAGCGCGAACCATTGCTGCACGTGCTGCACACCTTTCTGGGTTGCCTCTCCAGATGATGCAGCAGTAAGGCACGCACTTGAACGGACGGGTGGAGGGGCTGCGGCGCCAGCAGCGCCAGGCGCGGTGCTGGCTGGCTGTTGCCGTTGCCAGTGTGCGAGAAACTCGGCTTCTGCAGCAGCCGCGAGAGCCACAGAAGCATTCTTGCTTCACTTCGGACCATCGTGGGTAGTTGACTTCTTGCCGTCTCGAGGTGCGGGCACAGCCGTGGGCTGCAGCTGCGGCGGCTGCCTGTGCAGCAGCACCTCTTCTGAACTTGGCGGGAAGGAAGGCTTTTGGAGAGATGAGACACGCCTCTTTGAGGTGTTCACTTACGCCCCATGGCTTAGGCAAGCAACTGAAGCAACAGCAGCTCCCACCACACCTGACGGGGGTGCCTGCCGTAGGATGATCTCTCTCTCCTGGAATCCAACGGGCACTGCAATGGCAGCAGCACCGACCGCAGGGGCGAAGGATGAGCCTCTACGTGATTTTGCATCTGAAGGAGCTGCCGCGCCTTTGCATCGTGGTGTGCCAGACACGGCGGAACCTCAGGGTTCCATGGACGTGAGCTTCCACGACAGGAATGGGATACAACAAGGGTTACCAGGTCGCTGCTCCGATTGCGGGAGCGTTTCCCTTGCGCTTCTCTTGCCTCAACTCATCGATAGCACAGCCGCTGCAGCGCGCGCGCTGCAGTGCTGTTGCGCGCAGCAGCTGCGGGAAAGCGAGCAGCAGTGGACGTACATCACACTGCAGCAGCTGCAGCAACAGCAGGAGAAGGAAGAGCGCATGGGGAGTAGCTGCATAACAAAATGGGCCTCACCCTTTCTGCTGCTGCAGCAACGAAGTAGCAGCGGCTCTGTGCAACAGCGTCTGCTCCAGGCACACAGAGCGAGAAGGCTAACGAAGGACACCTCCCTGTTTTGTGTTCGAGAGGGCCAGCAGCCAGCGCCAACAAGCTGTTGCTCTGGCGCATGCGCATTTCCCCAGGCGCCTAGCAACCCCAAGACGCTGCTGCTCTTCTGTTCAAGCTCTGCTAAGGCATTGGAGGCCGACAGGAGAAGGGCAGGCAGTGCGCAACAAAAGCGGAGACCAGTACAACAGGAAGGCACTCAAGCATTTAGACAGATTCTCGACGGGCAGCTGCGGCGAGCTTTCTACACCGCGCAGCAGCAGAGGCAGCTGCAGCATGGTCGCGCCATGAAGGGGCTCCCTTGCGAGCTGCAGCAGCAGCTACAACAACTGTTGAAGGGGATACATTCCACTCCAGAACGAGCTGCCCGAGCGCGTCTAGGAGAAGCTATTAGCAGCGACAGTCCCGTCTCCGGCTGCTGGCCAGCGGCTGTTTCCAAAACAACACAACATCCCGCCGAGCTGCATGCAATGCACCAAGACGTTCACCTTGCAAGGCTACAGCGGCAGCAAGAACAGCTGGAGGCCAGCCTGCTCCAGCCGCTTATGTATCCCTCTGCTCCAGGTGCCGCTGCACGCAGAACTTACTGCAGGGGCAACTGCAGTGGCACCTGCTGGAGCAAACCCACTCCAGCCAGCTCCCGCCAACGTTGGTTCCCCAGTCACGGGTAGCCTCCCCGAAACGAGCTAATTTTCTTAGGGTGTGTCTAGACATCTTGAGTCGAGGTAGTCCAAGCCAATCAGCGGCAGGAGCAGCAGCACGAACAGCGGCGTGACTAAGTAGCTGTATCTGGGGTGGCCGCAACAGAGCCGTATCGGCACCAACACCCCCTCCTCTCTTCAACCCTAAGAACCGTAGCAGCGGTCACTAAGCGTTACCGTTAGAATAAAGGATTTCTTTCACTCTAGTTTTGAAAGGCAGGCTGACCGCTAAGAGCAATCGTTTCTCAAAAACTAGTGCGCAGGCGTCCATGCCCCCTCTTGTCTTCAGTATGCGCCCCCTTTATGCCCACCACCACCTAGGGCCACACTGCGCAGGTGCCGCCGCCTTACAGCCGGTAGACTAAGCTACTTTTGCAGCTGTAAGCCGATGGCTAACCCCTTGCTGGTCGCTTTCCGCAGCAAAATGCACCAACAAGAGATCTGGTGTGGCCTCAAATGCTCCGAAGCGCTCAAGGGGTGAGGCCGCTCTTCGCAGCGGCACACCCCGAACGCCACCGCTGCAGAGGCTATGGAGAACCTCTAGGAGGCACGACACGCTTGGAAGCGCCACCAGCACCCAGCAGGCGTAGCCGCTCCAACAGAGGGGGCACTTGCAACAGATTTACCTTGCTCCCGCCTCTACTGCTTCCGCTTGTGTGGGTTTCCGCCAATCGCACACCACGCGAAAAGCCATATGCGTCTTGCGGGTGCTCTGGCGAGCTCCCACCGCTCCCTGCGATGCAGTGCAAAACTGGAGAGTCCATTGCATCGGGTGCTGCAGCCATGCCATACTCAGCACCCAAGGGATGAGTACTTTCAGCAGGAGCTGCCTTGCGCTTTCCCGGAACGCGAGGGGTGCACGGAGAGGCCTCGGGTGTGATATTTGCTACAGCGGGCCATCCCTCTGCACTATCAATAGCTTTAGTAGCCGTGTCTTCATTGCTACCCGCCGAATGACTCTTGGAGGCATCGCCGTTCACGGGTTGCTCACAAGACACATCGGACGCGCTAGCAGCACCAGCTGCTACTGCTGGCGGCGCTGAGAATTCGTTCACAGAGCAGCAGCTGCTGCTGCAGCGTTCAAAGAGATGGTTAAGCATAAAGCCCCAATAAACACTTCGAGGGCAGCAGCAGCACCACCACTTCTCAGGTACCAAGCGGTAGTCTTCATCGGCGTTGTCTTCTGCAAGACCAGCACTCGATGAGGATGGGCGTGCTCCTCTTGCTGTCGAAGTTGTTGAACGCCATCGCCGCTGCTCCCTTGCAGCTGCTGCCTCCCGCTCCAGCGCGAAACGCCCCGCGCATGCCACGTGCACATAGGATCCACACAGCGGACATATCAGCGCACGTTCTCTGGGCTTGAAAGAATGCATGCAGAAGGCGCACCCCGAATTACCTGCAGGATTCGGCAGGGCAGCAGAGGGTGCTGCGTCGCTAGAAGCTTCCTTTAGTTTTCCCGCTTTCTGAATCGTATCGGCTCCTTTTTTTGCGGGAGTTCGAAGGCGGCTGCAGATTTGAAGGCCAGGCGACTGAGCGTCTCCGAAGCAGCAGCTGCAGCCGCTACTCTTGGTAATGCCTGACCCCCCTAGATCCCCGACGCGAATCTCAGGGATTTGCAGGCTGATAGACGCAACGTGGCCATGGCTGACAGTTACTTGCCGAGGCAGCCGCGTGGAAGCCCTGCCGCTGCTGCTGCTGCTGCCAGTGCCAAATCGCTTCCGTGCGCCTCCACCGCAGCATGGAAACAGCAGCAAGTCTTGCAGCACCTCAGTGACGTCTGCTTCGCAGGAATGGACGTGCAGGGGCAGGCGGCAAAAGGGAGCACCATGCAGCAGCAGTAAGGCCTGTTGTACCTCGGCCTCGAGTCTCTGCTGGGGCGTTTTGCTGCGCCTTCGTGTGAGTACGAAGGGCACGCGGCAACAGCGAGAGTCATCCGCTGCCGCCGTTTGCAGCTCCAGCAGCTCCCATTCCGCCGCTGCAGCGGTGGCAGCGGCTGCTGATGCCCCCTCTCCTTTTCCTAGAGAAGCACCAACTCGTCTTTTCTGCCCCTGCCGGTACTGCTGCTTTCTAAGCTGTTTGCGCTTAGCGGCACAGCTACTGCAGCCACTGCAGCTGCAGGCGGCTCCAGTGCCCCCGCGGCAGCAGAGGGAACGAAGAGCAGCTGCGGGAACAAGAGCCTGCTGCCATCGAAACTCGAATTGCAGAGCAGCGATGAGGGTGGGAAATCCATAGATCACGAGGCAGAGACGCCAGGGGCGATGCCTACAGCAGACACATCCACGCACGCACATTACGGCGACACTCCATTTGAAGGCTGCAGTTGCCCAAAACGTAGGAACTCTCTAGAAGTGAAACCGCAGCAGCTGAGGCAGGAGACGCAACAGGAGGCTCACGAGCTGGTGCGTCTCGCGCCTTGTTGCAGCGTCCCGTTGTGCTGCCTGAGACGGCGAATTGGGTTGGTGGTGCAGCCGATATAAAAGTGATGTGGAGAGGAGCAGGACTGCAGCAAGTAGACGCTAAAGAAGCCCCGATCCACACAATGCCAGCCTGGACAGGTATCGCCGCAGGTGCCGGTGGTTTTGCCCCTGCTCACACGGTTTATCTTGCCTGTTGCATGGCTGCGCTCTGCTCCTTCACCGTTGCTGGGGGCTGAATCTGAAGAGCAGCTGCCATGAACAGGGACGCTGTCTTGAGTACTGCTGCCACTGCCGCTGTTGCTGCAGCTCGTGTCGGGAGCACCGCTTTCCACGGCCCTCAGATCTGCCGCTTGCGGCGAAGCGGGGGGCGACGAATTAGCATCCGGGATCCATTCTGCCTCCATTGTGGCCAAGGAGCATTCACGACCTTACAATATATATAAATTGGATGCTACGATTATCCGCCGGGAAGCTCCATTTGCGGCCGAGCAGTATGCGCTGCCCACAAGAAAAAGCCGCTGTCCCCCGTTGAGTAAGGAGGTGTTGGGGGCTTCTTTCCGCATGGGACAAAGAAGTCACTTCAATAACTAAGTCCAAGCGGTACATAAATTCATGAAGTAGAAATAGCCCCCCCCAAATAACCGCAGAGTCGTCGACAGTGTAGGGGGACCCTCAAGCGGCGTCGGTAGTGGCTTGATTTGGCAGGACAGGGGGCTCTGGCTGTGCGCTGCTTGTACTTGGCACAGCGGAAATCTCCAAATTTTTGAAGAGCATCACTGCAGTCGCAACATTATTAGGTGAGAATTCCTCTCACGGAGCTGTTTCTCAGGTGGCCTAACCCCTTTAGTTGGCGGGAGTCCGTAGATCACTAGACACAGCTAGTGACCGCTGCAGCTCGCTTTATCGAAAACGAAGCGCAACCGAAAATATGCAGTTTGAGCCCATTAAAAGAGTTAAGAACCATCGAAGACACGCAGCCATGCGCTTCATGACTACCGCCTCGAGAGCCCTCCGAGTCACCGACTTCGTCACTTTGACTGCTGTTGCTGTAGCCTGCCTTGCCATATGGGAGGGAGCAGTAACAGCAGGAACCGCGCCAGCTCCGCCTCCAGGTGCCTCTTCAGCGGGCGGTGAGGATGAGCTCTGCACTTGTGGAGAGGGGCAGAACGCGAGGCTCAAGGCCTCGCCAGTGCCCCCACCGCCTCCCTCTGTGTCTGGCCTGTCGCATGAAGGCGTCTATTTCATCCCCGAACCCCTACCACCAGAGGAATCTTATGAGGCGTGCACCAAAGAAACCATTCCCGGCGCTTCATGCCTTACAACAGACTCTCAGAGCTGGGAACAGCCTTCCTCCTATACTGCTAGCATCTTCTTCACTGCGGACAAGGGGCCGCACCAAGGAGCCCCCGATAGCCACGGCAAAGCGTCAGAGGGAGCACTAGCGGACGCTCATGGGGAGGAGCAGACGGGGGCACTAGCAGGCCAGACCACGGACGCTCCCCCCCAAGCAGCCGAAAGCCTAGTGGGGACGTGTGAGGCTCCTGGCTCACTCGAGCGGCATGTAGAGGCCGTCTTTGGTGCGACGCTAAAAGAAACTCGGGAGATTCGTGAGTCTGCAGGAACGCGCCAGCGGAGGGAAACAGTTGCCGTGGGTGCGGTTCTCGAGAGCCCCTGCCGACGCGGACGAGCACCAACCTACGAGGAGCGGCGGCAGCATTTTCTTGCAGAGTATGGGGAGCTCTATTCGTTAGCAGCGGAGGCCACGGCGGAGAGGGAATTGAAGAGGCTGCGAGGAGATATTTACGTCGACTACGCAGGCGAGCACACAACAAACAGATCCGGCCTGCCCCAAAGGGAGCCCCAGCAGCCAGCCAGGGCAGCTGGGTTACCCTCGTCTTCCAGCTCTACAGAGGCATATATTTCCAATGCACAAAACACGGGAAACATAGATAAGGTAGTGGAAGTAGTACAAGGAGAACAGATATGTCTATATATATATATACATATATATATATACTCTATGGATATATATATATATATATACAATCTATAATCTCTCTATATATAGAGTACACGGAGAAAGTATGCTCCTGAGGAGCGGTATTCTCTGTTGTCTTCTGCCTACTACAGAAGCGGACCGAGAATGATGCTGTTGCTCGTTGACGTGCTCTGTGACACTTGACAAGCCCTAATTCCTTAATTGCGTCTACCACCTCCCATGGTGCTCTCCCTCCAGTCGCCCCTGTGAAAGCTCTCTTCTGGACTCGAAGTATGCTCCCTCTAACTTATTCACCTCTCTGTAATTCCTCAGGCAGTGCACCTTACCAGGAGCAGCAGATCCTGTCCTTCTTCAAAGACCTTTCGTTGCACGTCTTCGGCAACGCCCACTCCCGCAACCCCTCAGCTAAGCTCACGGGTTCGTCGCTATTACCCTCACACCCTCTGGCGCGCCTCTATGATTTAAGGGCCGTCCTTGCCTCTCTGACACTCCAGCAGATCACGAGTTTCGTCTTTCCCCACTCTGGGAGCAATTCGGTCTGCACCGATGGAGAGCCGGTCGTGTCCGTCGGTCACGGCAGTGCTTTTCGTGAGAGCCTCACGCTGCAGTGTTGCTGCTGCGCTGATGGCTTATCAGATCAAAGGATGCGCGAGGCAAGGGATCTCACACTCAAATTTTTCGGAGCTGCCGAAAAGGAGTTCGCCGTAGTTTTCACGTCCGGTATGTTGGCGCGTCGAGGGCGCTGCTCTACGCCCCCAAGGAGGCGGAGCGCAGCACGCAATCCGCCGCTAAAGCAGCCTCCTATGTAGCCTCTGAAGCAGCAAATGCTGCAAATTTACAAAGGCCATCTCGCTGCCTTGTTATCAGGTGTCTGTGCGCGAGACCGTTGCAGGTGCTACTGCAGCCATTAAACTGGTGGGAGAAGACTTTCCTTTTACCGCCGAATCCAGCTTCTTCTACCTCCGCATCAATCATAACTCCGTCCTCGGTGTCAGGTGCAGCTCCGCCCTCCTTCTTTCGCGAGTCCCTTGGCCTCGTGCCGTTGCCCTGTGCTGAGCGTCTACTTGCTGTCCGTTGCTTCTTACGAGCCACGAGGCAATGGACTCACAAGCACGTCGATCCAACTTCCGCTACTGGGTCCCACAACCCCTTCATATGTATGTTTGCCTCTCTACTTCCTCCAGAGAATTTGCGTACGCTGCTGGAGTTAAGTCTGTAAAGGCCCTTTCCGAGCGGGAGGTAGAGGCGATCCTTAAGGACCGCGAAGCCGCCGGCCTTGTGATCGACTGGAGCGCCGGGACGGTGTTGCCCTATTGCCTCTTTGGCTTCCCCCTTAAAGACAACTTCAATGGAACTTCCTATCCCACATCATGGATCGAAAAAATTCACAAGTAATGCCTCTACTCATGTTTAGTCCTTCCTTAAGCCCGGTGCAAATATTGGATTCGTATGGGTGTAGGCCTTTTTCCATGTGGCCGAAGCGTGCTTTCCCACGAAGCAGGGCCTCTCTAGCGTTCTTTCTGCCCCCCTGCCTCCACGCGAACGCACCTACAGCTGGCTTGACCGCTGTTTCCGCGTTTGTCTAGGTATGGTCTTTCTGACGAGTGCCGATGGCTTGTACTCCTTGACGCGGCGGCCGCCGCACCGACTTCCCCCATCCGTCTCTCTGGGACTACGCCTGAACGGTCCGCGGACTTCTTGGCGATTTCCTTCTACAAAATTTTTGGCCATCCTACCGGTCTAGGAGCCCTAGTTCTCAAACGCAGCACTGCCGATGTGCTCAAGAAGGTCTGTCACCGGCTGCACCAAAACGGAGAGGGACGTCCGAAGAACAGCTTTGCCCAAAGTCCTCCTGGCACAGCATGTGCACGTCCAAAGTAGCGAACAGGTGTTGGTACTCATATTTCTTATAGCTTGTGTCGGGCTTCATGACTGAAAAGGCCTCCTGTATTCAACTGCTGCAGGTATATTGGGGAGGCGGCAGCGTCTCGGGTTCCCTTTGTGATTCAAGGTGGCAGAAGTTGAAAAAAGAAGTGTCATCGCGCCTAGAAGACGGCACGGTCAACTTTCTTTCGATTGCAGCCATAACATACGGCTTTTCAGCCATACAGGCAAGCCTCCTTTACAGTATCCGGGCACAAGGCCTCCTGACGCACTTCTCCGCTAGTGCTATCGGTGAATGATCCACACCTGTGGATGTAATTGGCATGTGTTTACGCTCACTCTCCCCTCATCCTCAGGCCATAGGAATGGAGCAAATTGAACGGCATATAGGTGCCCTTACCCGCCACCTTTTCCGTTCTCTCAAGGCCTTCCGCCACCGTAATGGAGCTCCCTTCGCCTTGCTATATTGGGGGCGCAGAGAGGACCCCTCAGGTAGAGCATTACGTTAATACATGACCGAAGATGGAGAGATACCATGTGCGGGGCATAATGTCAACCGGCTTTGGGCTGCTGCTCGTGACACGGTGCTAAATGCTCATGGTTCAACACGCTCGCGTTTTAAGCGCATAATATTGTATGGGTCATTGCGTGACGTTACGCTACCGAAGCTAGGTAGCCTGTCCGGTCCAAGATGGCTTGTGGGCAAGCGATGGCTGTGCTTGCCTGGTCTGCTGCTTGCGTGCTAACCATATAGGCGGGATAGTTAACTTCAACTTACTCAGGCCTGATGGCTCATTTGTTCCATTCAGCGAGGTATGTAAACGCTACCACGCAGAACCATATCATTATACGGTATTTGGTTGAGCGTGCCTGCCTTAATTACAATCGCCGTATCCACTCGTAACTTCTTGTGCAGGGATGTCGGTTGTTCAGGTGGAGGCCAAAACTGCTGCCGCAGGTATTCATCTACGCACAGGATGCTTCTGCAACCCCGGAGGCTGCCAGGTGTGTCGGTAGCTAAAACCCACATTTCTTGCCAAATCCACAGATCCTATTGTATCCTGGAATTGCAAAAGATTCAGGCGAGGCACTTTCTGCTTTCCTTTTGGCTTTTCCTCAGGACTACCTTGGGCTGACTGGCGCTGAGATTGTAGATGCAGCCCGTGCAAGAGAAAGCTGTTCTGATCCCACCGGTGCCTTGTTAAGTCGTCCAACTCCGCAGCTTGTAGGGCTCGCATTTGGACCGCGCTCGTATGCTAAGGCTGTCGGATCCGTACGTATATCACTTGGGTATCTGACGACATTTGCTGATGTGGATGGCCTGCTAGATTTCCTTGTGCGTACTTTCCTATGGCATTGAGGGAGCGGAACCAGTTCTGATTAATTCGCACGCTCTTAGTACCTGTTTAGAGGTACATCCAGGATAGTGTTTTGGACTATTCAACTGTGCCAACCTTCTAGTGTGTTGTGTTGAGCTTGTAGCACTGTATTTTTCCAACCCTTCGCGTGTTTTTCAACTCAGCTGATTTCAATGTTACTCTGATAATGTGCATTATCCACGGAGGCTATAGGATGTCACTGTCCGTGGATTTTAAGTTTCTTAGGAAGCATGTCAGTTTTATGTGTACAAAATCCGCGTTAATGACCAAAATTAGCCACACGTTTTTCTATTAACTCGGTGCCGGCAGTCTTTTGGACATCTTTTGAGTACGTTTGGGGGGTTGAGTTTTATCAGACTGGCTGAGATGTCGCTGTCGAAAAATCTCCGTTACAACATTCGTGTGTTTCACTTTTTCTCTCACGAACTGCTTAATAGGCAGATTTGGCGATACCACACTCTAGTTCCTACTCATGTGGTGGTGAGTAACACTCGTGGGCTCAAACGAATTTCGAAGGGAACCCATCAAATGAAATTGAGGTTTAAAATTAAATATAATACTCACAAATTTACAGTATCGGCATAATATATCGTAGACTTTTCAAAGCCAGTAAGGTTCGGGTTGCCATGTGACTCTGAGATGCGTTACACACTGATGGAAGATCGCATATCTCGGGGATACCAAAATCCATATTGAATGAAAATATTTAAATCCCCTGGTTTCTTGAAATTCCATCATTTCAGCGAGCTTCCTGATGTTTTTCTCCAGGAGACACAGAAGAGATCTCAAAGTTTTAGCCGTTATTCGTACCTTTGTACTTTGGATCCGACACTTCCGGGTGTCATGGAGTCGAGATACTGGTGCGATTAGGTAGAATGTACGAGGAAGCAACCTTATTTGGCATTTTTGTTTGTCAGGTGTCACTTAGGTATCCGGGTGTCAGTTCCCCCTTCATCTGCGCAGCGCTAGTCCATCAGCGGTCCATTGGCGCCACCCCTCCCACCCGGGCGGTGACCATCCACTGCACATTTATTCAGGGTTTGTGTCACTGTCACTTCCATACACGTTGGGTATTCATGCAAAAGTGGTAGATCAGCCAAATATCTTGGCTCTGGCGTTTCTTCCCCAGACTGGTTACTGGTAATACGGAGAAATCCTTTCTCCGTCATAGGCCATCCCCAGGTCACGACCGTGCAACGTTGTGCATTTCCTGAGCTTCATTAGCCCTCCTTCTCTCAAAACAAAATGGCGGTGTTGTCTGCATTTCGTCTAAGCTCGGCTTCGATTTTCCTGGGTAAGGAAAGTCACATTACCTTTTATATTGCGCGCCACAACGAATCCGTTGAAATAATGCTCGTGTGCATGTGATACGTTTTGCGCTTTCAGTCGTCGCTCTCCTCATACCACAAAACTGGCATTCCATGGCAACAAGTGCACACGAGTCCCAGAAGGAAATCGATTTGGAGCAGATCCTTGCGATTTTCCCAGGCCTAGATGCTCGCTTTCCGGTCATCCGCGAGAGCCCAGGCCTCCTTGAGGATATAAAAGAATTCCTCGACGAAAATAATGAAATGCCAAAAGAAGAACTCGAAGCAGCTCTTCGGGGATTTCTCTGCCGGAAAGGCTACATGGCATTCTGCTGCAGCGCCTGTTCTACATCCACAACGACGCCAGCGCCGGTTACGGAGCCAATAGTGACAGAACCTTCTACGCCGCATCACGATCCCACACAGGCACCACCTACTGAGCCAGCCTCTACCGAGGAAGCAACCACGGAGGAGGTTACCACTGAGCCAGCCTCTACCGAGGAAGCAACCACGGAGGAGGTTACCACTGAGCCAGCCTCTACCGAAGAAGCAACCACGGAGGAGGTTACCACTGA